GTCTGAAGCTGGACTCCCAGCAGGGAGCCCCTTGGAGACTGTGGCCGGGTCCCCATGGGCAGTGCGGTGCTAGGCCCTCTGCTCCCCCTTTTTGTTTGACCACATCTTGGATTGATTGATTAATGATTGATTATTGATTAATTGATTGATTGATTCATTTGTTCTTCCTGTGCAAAAGCACACAGCAGTGAACAAAATGACACAGGACCTTTCATAATGGAACTTACTGTCCAGTGCGGGAGACAGACATTCAAAACCGTCACCCTCTTCACCCCGGTTTCCTGTTTGTTAGGGTGATAAATGCCGCCAAGGGAAAGGACTAGGGGAGCAAGTGACCAGGGGACCCGACTCCAAATGCGACGTTGAAGCCGGGCTCTGAAAGGTCAGCGACGCGAGCCGAGCGAAGCGTGTGTGGCGGACGCTCAGAGGCAGAGACAGGACGGCACCCGTGAGCCGGTGCTCGGGCAGCCGATCGACGCATGTGTCGCGGATGCTCAGAGGCAGAGACAGGACGGCGCCCGTGAGCCGGCGCTCGGGCAGCCGATCGACGCCCGGGGTGTGCGCGCTCTCTCCCGCCGCCGTGAGCCCTGAGCACGGGGCCCGCGACTACCGTGTCCGTCCCCAGCCCACTCCCCGGCCCGCAGTAAGCGCTCGGTAAAGGCCCATAAGCAAGTGAATGAGTGAACAACGCTTCTGCAAACCAGCACCACTGGGCCGATGTCGTGAGGGCTTCGTAAACATAGACCAGGACCCTGAAGTGAAAATGGACACAGAGTGTCAGCCAGCGCTGGCTCTGGGCGCCTCAGGCCGGACTGGTTTCATCCAAGGTCACTGGAGTAGTGACCAGAGGGTGAAGAATGAGCTCTTGCCTGCCGAATCCCCGCCCAACCGTCTTGACTTGGAGCTGAAGACCCTCTACAATTTCATATCCCCTTTCCTGGGTACCTGTCTCCCCCAGTTTTCATAGCCCAATCTATCCTAAAACACGGCATCGCTATAAAACCCTTAAAATTTATCTGTTTCTTTACCTATCGCGGTTGAATCTTTCTGTTGGCTGTTGATATATTCAGACACATTTCAGGAAGGAGCAAAGCGAGGGGAAGGGAGGTCCGGCCCCACAGGGCACTGGAACGCTGTCTGCCCAGGATCTGAACCCACGTCTCTGTCTCTCTCCTCAGACACCGAGGCTGTCCTCCGCACCCTGCTGCCCACGGCTGCTTCAGGCAGGAGCCCATGACCTCTGGAGTAGCAGAGGCCCCATGCGAAAGAGGACAGGCTCTACCTGCCCTACGTGGTGGGGGCGGGGCCAGTGTCATTTTAATGGTCTCTCCCATCTCCCCTGGCCACGCCCTCCAAAGAAGGAAGAGGAGAAGACAGCTGCCGGCTGAGTCCTGCTGCGTCACTTGAAAGCTCTAGTGGGTTTTACAGAGCAAAGCGGCCGGCCTCTCGGCACGAAACGGGACATCCAGGCGGGTGGGGGCTGGCGTGCAGCCTGCAGGGGCTGCTCGGCGGCCAGACCCCTTTCCCAGCTGCCCTCCCTGCCGGCCGCTCCCTTTGGGTCTGGGGCTCATTCGCGGAGGGTCCCTCCCAGGTGCCCAGACCTGCGAGTAGCGAGTGACCGGCGGGCTGGGCTGCTCAAGTCCCCTCCACGCCCGGCATCATGGGCCAGGCGTAGGGAGGGATCCTGCCTGCGCCCGGGACCACGGCCAACACGCCCCAGCGGAAACTGGTTTTGAATTAGCAGTAGCAGCCTTTGCCGTGCATTTTCTCAGTCATAATCAAGCAGCTAATTGACGAAATGTTCATTGTGCCAGGTACCGCGTGAAGATTGCCTCGTTGTGTCCCCCCAACATCTCTGCGACGGGGCTTTGTAATAAACTCCGTTTCACCCATGAGAAAACGGGCTCTCAGAGAGGTCAGTAACTGGTCCGAGGTCGCACAGCTGTCGGCGGTAGGTCTAGGATCCAGGCTCGCACAGCGTGCTGAAGCCCGCGTCCGCAACCACAGCGCCAGGCTGCCTCCAGCAGCGGGAGCGTGTGGGGGTCACGTTTTGAGGTTAAAGAGCACCCATCGAATTCAGTAACGGCGAGACAGACGACCTGGGGAAAAACAGGCAAAGGGTTCGAACAGACGCTTCCCCAAGGACGACGTAAGAATGGCTGATGAGCCCGTCGCTCATTCGGAAAGCGTGGGACCGAAACCTGGCCAGCCGAGCTCCGGGTCCTGTGCTGCCTTCAGCGTTCCTGCCTCTTCGGTGCTGGCGGCTGACCCCGCTGAGCGGGAACGGCTGGGCGACACCCACCACACAGGGTCACTATCCTGACTCAGCCAAACGTGCCGAGGGCGCGTCTCGTATGCCAGTATTTATCTTTAATTCTTACTGTTCCCACTTTCCACTGATTTCACGTAATAGGGCCGGGAACGGGCCCATGCTGGGTTTGGGACCTGTTTAGTAGTCAAGACCTTGGCCTGAGCGAGGACGTCTGTTCGTTCACAGTAACAGTGTCTTAGAGCCAAGTGAGACTTAAGAAGATTCAGTGTCCCTACAGAAGCGTTGGCTAGGCGTCATGGTCATAGGAACCGACCAGCAGCTCTGGGGGCAGGGTGGGTGGGTAGTGGCCGAGAAATCGAGTCACGGTCCCTGCTCTGTTGCAGCTGGCAGGCCAGCTGGGGACACACAGCACAGGCAGCTGACGTCCCGCGTCCCTCCGTGAAGAATGCCATGGGACAAGGCGGAGTGTCCGCGAGGGGCGTGGCAGACGGCCCGAGGGGCAGCGTGGGCTGCACACGTGGCTGTGTCTGAGGACCCTGCCGGGAGCTGTGGACAAAGGGCGGGGACACTGTGGAAGCGGGTAATGGAGGGGGCCCCGGGGAGAGACGTTTGCCGCTTCTCCCCATCCTGCCCCTTAGGTGACTGTGGGCAGATGACACCCGTGCATTCAGGGGCCTCGTCTGCAAAGTGAGGATGGCGACGGTCCCATCGCACACTTGTGTGAGACTCAGTGAGGACGCTTTGCAGACAGCGCTTCGCAGGGAGCGTGGCACACACTACGTGCTCAGGAAGTGCAGGCGGGTATTAAACAGGAAGCCGAGGCATTTGAATTTATCCTACAGCGGTGAATCCGGCGAGGGGTTTCTAGGGACACATTCGTCCAGGCGCAGAGGCACGGAGGCGGCCCCCGCGGTGCGGACATCCCACTGGGGAGAGGGATGGATGTTCGGGGAAGGGCGGGTGACCCAGCTCAGGTGGCGGGAAGGACCTTGGGACCCTGGGCGGCCCCGGGGCAGTGGCGTGGAGAGATCGGGGGACCTTCCACATCCTGCTAGAGAGAGGACAACTAGAGAAGAGGGCTGGCAACTCCCCTTTAAGGAGCGGACAGGGGAGGGGCCGGTGGGAGGGATGAGGACAGAGGCTAAGAGCTGGAGCCGGCAGGACGGCAGGACGCCAGGCTGGTATCGGCCTGGGATCTGGCAGAGAGGACACACGTCACCTAAGGGGAGCCTGCGATAACGGTTCCCAGGGTGCTTTGCTGAATTCCCACGCTTGG